CGAGCGATATTTCAGCTGTTCAATGGCGTATCGCCTCTTGATAAGATTATTACGTCAGGTTTCATTATGTAAGTTATTTATTGGACGACGAGGACTTTGAGATTATGAGAGAAAGTTGCAATAACCGGGCCATTATTGTTGTTTTTATAAAGAACTTTTAGAATAATCACTTTAGAGTTAGGTACGATAGTTTGTTATTAAATTTTGATATAAATTATTGATTTATCTTCCATCTCGAGTAGGAGTGGAGACATAAGATAAAATTGGAATGTATTTGCTGAATTTTCCAATCAGATAGGTTGCACATCAAAGGGATATTGATAGGCTCTCATGAATCTTTTGCAACTATGGTGGATATTGTCGGTTGCTCTACTATCACCATTGTATCCAACTTGTGCTATATTTATACCAATGTTTTAAAATTTAGGGCATATTAACGATAGCAACTTTAGATTACTTTAGCTTTTAATGAATATTGAAAATGTATTAGACATGAATTTAAAGCAGTATTGTGAAAGACGATAAAATTTTAATATCCTTAAAAATGTGTCCTCATTCATGATACTCTCTGGACATCAGTAGTTCTCGTAGAAAACGGAAAAATCAATGACTTGCCTTTGATTGACTTTCAGGTATTATTTGCGGAAAGTGTGGCTTGTTTTAACTAACCCTGGTTTGAAAAAATCCTATAACTGATACTAAATTAAAGCAAAAACCAAACTTCTGCAACAGCTGGATTCCCAATTTGCAACTGAAGTCAAGGTGTTCAAGAAGACGTAACTTTATTATTTCTTAGGTTTTCATGCACATCACTCGTTAAATAAAACTAGTTTTAAGGGATTAATGCACGAACTGGAATGGAACACGAGACGTAAAATGTTTACCATGGAATACCAGACGGTACTTTTTCTTCGACCTCCGTGGCTGAGTGGTTTGTATGCCGGGTTTCATGGTGTTGCCGACTCGAGAGGTCCTGGGTTCTAATCCCGGTGGGGGCAGATGTTTGTGTGATGAATACGAGCATTTGTACTCCAGTCGTGGATGTCCAATATGTATTTCTATATAAATATATGTACAGTATATATGTATTCTATCCGTTACCCTAGTATCCCATAACATAAGCCTTACAGTGCTTACTTTGGGGCTAGATTAATTGGTGTAAGTGTTGGAAATATTTATTTATAGTTTCACTTTGAAGGTTTTCTCCATGTTTGCATTCTAATTTTGAAAGTAGTCGAAAGACATTTTTTTAGTCAGCTAGCCCTTTTTGTAACGTGAAGTTGTTACTTACTTTTTCATGTCGAGGGAGAACTCTTCCTTTTTACGCGAACTATAGGCAAAACTACCTACAGAAAGTGGTGATACCAACTGATAGTCAGCTCTGAAACCGCATCCTACTATCTTTATTCTAACCGATTCAGAAACCAATCCCAACCAAGCTACTTTCAGGGTATGTATTACTTGTGGTATCGTTGTATAATTAATTAACAATGGCTTGAAAATCCATCTTCTACAATATGTCTTTCCTCAGTTTTGCTTTTGTGAGTGCTTTTGAATTTAAGTTTCCATAACCTCGAGTTTTTGCCGTTGCAAATATGATATGACAAATGCTCTGATTTGGAACAGTAAAGCGACACGAGTGTTTACGCTGTCGTCTCCATGCTCAAGCTTCGCTGTAAAGCCTTGAGTCGCGGCAGCTGCCAGTCATTGTCCCGATATGACACACCGAGCCCTTAAGATGAATAGAATGAGGGCGCTTTTTATCCTACAAAGTCTCAAGCGTTTGATGTTTACACCAATAGCAAATCAAATGTTAGAAATGGCCTCTTATTATTTTTACCTGAAGTTGGCTCTAGATGAATCCCTATTGAGTATCTTGTTTATTGGATTTTTACGTGTTGACAAAGTTTTGGGAAAATTTAATATATCAGAAATGCTTCTACTCGGAAGTTTCTGAACAGTCAATTATAATCTACATTTACCTATTTTATAAATCGAGTAGTTAGTGTCATCAAAGGACTACTTACGGCTTTGAAGCTATCCTGTCTATTGATCGGTTTTTACTATCGCTATAGGAAAGTTATCGATTGGATTATTATGCGTTAAGACTGGTGAAGAATCAGACTATCAGGGAATATACTATGTGACTTATTGGTATCAATCATGAACAGATTTTAAATAAAAATATTTTAAAGTTCCATTTTTATCTTAGAGTATCATAATGAAAGAGATAAAATAGGTTTAACTTTCCGTGATTTCAACAAAATTTGTGTTTTGTTGTGTATTTTATGACCACAAATTAGCGACTATCGTGCGAATCTGCGTTTCATAGATTATATATTATCTTAACATGTAAAAGAAAAATTTTGATTATTTTATTTACGATTTTTTAGGTGACACGGAACCCCTCCTCACCGCCCCTGGACCTTTGAAATTTTAAAATTGGATCTTATATCAAATTCGGATTCAGGAAAAAAAATTAGGTAAATGTGTATAATAGTAAACTATCAAACATAAATAATGTTTATGTGGGTCTACACATATTTGGAGTTATCTAGCCGATAATATTTCTAATGGTTTACGCATACTCACCCTCGGTAGCTATATTGCCCGTCAAATACGACTGCCGTGCGATAAAATATGACGCGACAAAAACTGAATTAATGAATACGAGTCTGTTGTATTAATTACATTCCGCTTTTTGCTTAACGCAGTTTTGAACAACAAAAAATAGCGCTCCATTTCATTGACTAAGGAAAATGGATACAGCTTTTATTGCCCAAAAATTGCCTAAGAGTAATATGTCATGTCCCCCACTAACGTCATGCTGTCCTATTTTCTGATCTACAACTATTGACTTTAACATCGCTTTTTACTTATGAAATATGTTTATTTGTAATCTTAATTAGGTCTCTATTCAATACTTATCTTTTATTTATTTATTTATTTAATCTTTATTGCCTTTACACTGCAAATGGCGGACTTAATGCCAATATGGCATTCTCTACCAGTCAACCGGAAAGAACATACAGAGCTATAAAAAACGGCAGAATCAAAGAAGAGACATTAAAATCAAACAATGAGCAAATATACTGACACTTAACTATACATACAACCATACTTATATAAATATACACACAGACTTAAACACAATCCTGCTTGGAGCGTTACGCACGTTCAAAGGAAGTGCATTCCAGAGCCGAACGGCAGTAACGGTAAAAGAGTTTGAGACAAACCTAGTGTGATGAATGGGTACATTGAGTATCAGAATATTAATCGACCGAAGATTTAATATATGAGAAGACCCCAGGAACTGAAATCTAGATTTCAAATATCCAGGGGTACATGGATCGTATAATATGTTGAAAAGGGTGGAAACTGTCCTTAAGTACCTACGCTCTCGAACAGGCAGCCAATTAAGTTTATAACGGTATTCAGAGAGGTGGTCGTATTTACGTAAACCAAAAACGAAGCGAATGGTATTGTTGAGAAGACGATCCAATTTAGTAAGAAATAACTGATTTATATCAGTAAAACAAACATCAGCATAATCAAAGAGGGGATGAACAAGGGATTGTACAAGGAAGATTTTGGTACACGAAGGGAGAAAATTCTTCAAGCGGTAAAGCGAACCAAGTGTTCCGTTTATCTTGCAGCACATATTTTCCATTTGGCTATCCCAACTAAGCGTGTGGTCAAGAACAAGCCCAAGGTTTTTTTACTTTTGTAGAATACGGGATCACTACACCAATGAACATAACAGCAGGAATTGTGTTCGAATGCAGCTGCGAAATTTGTCGTGAACTGCTTATAATGATCGCCTGATATTTATCAGGGTTGATGGTAATTCCAAAGCTGTCATACCACTGACGTATCCGAGAAAGATTTTGATTAAGCAGACTAATTGCCCTCCCCAGGTTAGGTAGGGTGTCCTGAGCATACAGTTGAAGGTCGTCTGCATACAGATGATAAGAGGTGGAAAGAACGGAAGTGAGGGAGTTAATAAATAGAGAGAAAAAGAGAGGAGAGATCACGCCTCCCTGTGGTACACCAGCGAGTAAGTCGATCCAGTCCGAGGTTGATTGATTGATTCTTACAGCTTGTTGACGCTCTGAAAGGTAAGACCAGAACCACTTAAGCGAATTGGAAGAGCACCCTATTTGCGCTAGCAGAGCAAGAAGAATGTCGTGGTCAACTGCATTAAATGCATTAGAAAAATCGAGAAGAACTAACACAGTCAACCGCGACTCCTCCATGCCATCTCGTATGTCCTCAAATATTTAAATAAGCGCCGTAGAGGTACTGTGCCCAGGGCGGAATCCAGACTGGAAGGGAGTAAGAAGTTGGTTGCGATAGACATAAGACGAAAGCTGTTTATGGACAGCAGCTTCGAGAATCTTAGAAAGGTAAGGTAGAATAGATATAGATCTAAAGTGAATGAGAGAGCTGGGGCTAGAAATTTTGGGAAGAGGGACAGAGAAAGCCTTTCGCCACACACTAGGAAATGAGCCGGAAGATAGAGATTTGTTCATGATAAAGGTCAATATAGGAAGTAGAGGGTCCAATAATAAGATAAGCATGTTTCTGTTGATATTATCAAATCCTACAGCCTTGGACTTGATAGAAACTGCTAACTTTCTAATATCATCCTCTGTGAGTGGGCTAAAGGAGAAAATGTCTTTTGGAGGAGTAGCCGTGGAAGAAAGTTTGGAAATGGTGAGAAATTTGACAGTGTCAGGAAGTTTGTGTACAAAAGAAAAATGATGGTTGAATTCGTTTGAAGAAAAAGGAACACAGAATTGGGATCGAGTTTTGCCAATACCAATTGAGTTAAGAAACTTCCACATTTCGGCTGGAGATGAGTCCATAACATTCTGATGTATATAACGTCGTTTAGCACCTCTTATCATCTGATTGCAGCGGTTTCTTGCACTCTTGAAGGCCATCCAATTGATATCAGTGCGGCATCTTTAAAAATATGAAAGGCCTTGTCTCGTTTACGCATGGCAATGAGCACCAAAGGAGTTATCCAGAGAGCAGGTGGTCGCCTCAGCTTGACCGCTTTAATTGGTGCATGGTGATCAAACCATTCAATAACCGCAGCATTGAAGGCGGTGACCATATCATTCACTGAGGACGCACCATATACAGGCCACCAATCGATGGCCTTTGCTTCCATTACAAGCTTCTCTATGTTAAGCCTCGCGATGTTTCTAATGCGTACTATAGCCGGCTTAGCTTTAGGGGGTTTCAATTTGAATGCTAAGAAAATCAGGTCGTGTTTCGAAAACCCCGGTGCCGACAGCTGACCATGTTTCAAGACATGGTCTCGGGAGGATGTTACAATATGGTCAATCCATGAGTCATGAGTGATGATGTTATGATGAGTAGGACCAAGCGGTAAAATAGAGAAATTCACAGACTCAAATATTGATCGAAAACCTCGTGAGGAAAAGAATCTTTTAAGAGATCCGTGTTAAAGTCGCCCATGATTATGTGATGTTTGTAATCTGAGGAAAAGTTATCGATAAGAATTTCAAGATCTGTTAAGAAAGGGACCGAAGGGGGGCTGTAAATAACACCAAGCAATACTTTAGTATATTTGACGTCAATTTCTAGAAATAAATATTCCATGCAATCGTAACGGGAAGAAGAGGATGTTAAAATCTTATAAGGGATAGCCTGAGATAAATAAATGGCGACTCCCCCCACCCTTACCTATTCTATCATTTCGGATAAGCGTGTAACCTGGTAGGTCAACAGACACTGAGCTCAAACAGGGCTTCAACCAACTTTCCGTCTGACAAAACAATAATAACACACACAAAACCACAAACTAAATAACTCAGACCATTTTATTGAAGTGAATAAAACAGAATAATAAAAAAAAAAAAAAAAAAAAAAAAAACAACTTTCCGAAATCAGAATAGCATGGATTACAGAACTAGGCGTGAAAGTGTTCAGTAGTTCTGTATAGTGGCAAGGAATACTCTGAGCATTAATGTGGCAAACGTTCAAAGTTTCAGTGGCAGTGGCACTGAATTCTTTCGAAACGAGAGAGCCCAAATCAACCACATTATCAAACGAACAATCGTCGCTGAGTGAGCAAAAAGACGAGTTACCATCCTCTGCTGAACAGTATTCACTGGTATAGGTTCATATAATAAAATATAAATATAAAATAAAAAATACAATAAATATATATTTATAAGAATAAATAAAATAAAATGGAGCAATAAATTGCTTGAATAAAACTGCTATTTTGAGACTTGGATTTCCCGCCGATTGAAGGTTTACAGTACTGTAATAGAATATAACAAAGACAGGAAGAGAGAGATAAACCTTGAAACATACACTCATAAAAACATATTTTTCTACTGGTTCGAATATACACAAAAAACATGATATTCCTTATGAAACTTATGAGACAATCGGTTGAAACAGAGTTTTACACACTTCACTACGTATAAATACTAGGACTTAACCATAACACACTTGATATTAAAACACAGAAAAAATAAATGGTAACATGGCAGTATAACATTAATATCTCAATCTACCTTAAAAACCTGAAAACTAATAGCGTACGTTAGTACGGAACGTAATGCATGCCATAAAAAAAGAAAAAGAAGAAGTACGGAACGTAAAGCTGAGGTGACATAAGGTTGACATTGACATATCATGCCACTGTCACTTGATTAAATTGATTAGAAATTATTTTAGATTATGTTTGTTTACCTTACATTTGATTTTAAAAGATTAAGTTAAAAAATACTAAACAAGTAGTGCAAGTGAAGCTACCGACTTATTACAGAAGAAATAAATAATGATGCATAAGCAGCAAGCACAACAAAACAATCGAAGACATCACAGTTTAGTTAATCTTTTTCAAAATCTTGTTTCCTTTGTCGAGGACCTTACTGAGTCTCTCGATCAAGGCGACTCTATTGACACAATATATATAGACTTCAGTAAGGCCTTTGAAAGGGTAAATCACGCTGTTCTCATCGCAAAGCTGGAAGCGGCTGGGGTATCGGGAACTCTTTTGGCATGGTGCAGGTCGTACCTGGAAAACCGTAGATCATCGATCGAGCTCAACGTATACACATCGGCTTCCTATGCAATGTTATCAGGTGCTCCTCAAGGATCACATTTGGGCCCTCTATTCTTTAATATCATGATTAACGACATTCAGTCATGTTTCCGTTTTTCAAAGTCCTATTTATATGCTGACGATCTTAAGCTTTGCAGGTCCGTTAACGTGAGTGCAGATGTTGCTCTGTTGCAGTTTTATATTGATAGCTTGGTAGCTTGGTCTAAGAGGAATTGCATGGATTTTAATGAGGAGAAGTGTTTTGTGGTCAGATTCACAAGAAAGAAACAAATACTCGACAGATCTTACAGAATTAATGGAACGTACTCTCGGAGGTTAGCCAGGTCCGTGACTTAGGTATTACTTTGGATACTAGACTCCGCTTTCATATTCACTTCGATGATATCGTAAAAAAAAGTTTTAAGATTCTCGGTTTTGTGTTAAGAAACTGTAGACAATTCACGAACCCTAAAACAAAAGTCACCATATACACGGCCTTAGCTCGCAGTAACCTTGAATATTCTAGTATAGTATGGAACCCCAATTACGATATCTATGTCAAAAGAATTGAACGTGTCCAGAAGCGATTTTTATGACATTTGTCGTTTGGATGCAACATGGCGAAAAAACTGCCTAATTATGTCGACAGGCTTCACCACTTCAATTTGCAGTCACTGGAGTGTCGCAGACGTTTGCTGGATCATATGTTTCTGTACAAGCTAGTGAACGGAATCTTTGACACACCTGACCTATTATCTAAAATCAACTTTCGCATACCGTCGCGACTTCCTAGGCTTACGACTTATGCACCCTTTATGGAGAGACTCTCTCGTTCGCGCCATGGTCGCTACTCACCGCTGAATAGGTTGATGATAGCTTACAATGGCTTGCACAGAAGCATTGCTCAAAATCATTCTAGTAGAATCAAATGTGGATTACCACAGCATGCTCATGAGCATGATTCACAATTAATTGATGTCGATATTTTCTCTAATTCTCTTAAATATTTCCAATATAATGTAAAAAAAATACTAGATACTGTAAATGTAAATGTTTATTATGTTTAATTTGATTATTATAACATCAATTTCCATTAATTTACAATATTTTGTGACATTTTACCGAATAATTATATAATTTTAATGAAATGTTTTTAATTTTAGTATATTTTTTTTTATTTTACTACTAATTATTTCACATCAATAGAAGATTTTCAAATAGTGTGATTTTGTTATGCGATATTTTTGCTTATCAGTACTATTGTGTAACATCTATAATTAAGATTGCACTTAGTTCGCTTCCACATTGTTTGTAAGTTGCTTTATAATGAGTTGGTGTTAATCTTGTTGATGTTAATAAATAAATAAAAAATCATGTGAGATTTACTCCAGAAACTCACGAAAACTCAATAGATTAGTATTACAATAAATGCTAAAAACTATGCATTTCCACAAAAAGGAGTGTGAAAATCTTTAATAATCTACCCAATGACTTGAATAAAATAAACATTAATAAATTTAAAACAGGTCTACGCAAATGGCTTATCTCATAGGCACTACGACATAAGGGACTTTTTAAAATTAAGTCTTAATTTGTAACTTTATGTGATTTGATCTTCAAAAGTGGCATTAATAACTGTTCCAAGATTCAATAATTATATCACCTTAACCGTATCGCATAGTTAAATTGATTTTAATGTCGAAGTAGGCAAATCTTATCATAACATTAATAATCGTATTGTAATTTTAAATTAAGTGCTACATTTGGATTTGCATGCAATATTATAGGCTTAATATGCTTAGCATAATATATTAGCATTCATTTAGTATCTATAACTATCATGTCTGATTATAAATGAAGATTATAATTAAATGAAAAGGCACATTTGTATTTGACTAATGTTTTAATAAATTTAATAAATGGGTAAACAAAAGAGACGTTTAAAATAATTAAATTTCCTTTTGTTCTTGTATTTTGGAAATAGTTTGCTTATCACGATCGTAACAAGATCACAATTCATTCTTCCTAAGACCAGCAGGCTATCCTAATTACTAACTTCCCGGGTACATTCTTTGTAATTTTACGTTGGCAAGGTAAAATAAATCCCAGAACGCCATTCTATTGTGGAATGGTCGAACCCCCAAACTTAGTTCTAAGTTTATATCCAAATAGAACTGCAGAGAATTCTTAGTTATCGGAGTCCATGTAATCGGTAGCAGTTCAGAAAAAATTGGTGTTGGATTTCTGTCATAAGAAAAAAGGCAAATTAACTCTATTTAATGTAAGCTTAAAAAGTATTCAAATAATTATTAATTTCATTTAAAAAGTAAATATGAGGTAGAAAAACTAGGAATAAATTTAATAATAAGATACTCCAGTGAGGCTAACAGTCCTTATTGATGTCCCTTAAACTCTAATTATTTAATATAAAACTTGCATGTTCAAAGAAAATAAAATTTTCATACCCGTATTTGGCGAAATTGGTCCAGAGCATCGTTATTCGGTCTATAACTAATTGATCATCAGCAGACGGAGTTTGATCATAATATCTAGCATCGAATAAATAACCAATTTCGTCAGCGTGTACTGCTCCTGCGATACTGTCAGTGAAGTTTTTATCCCTCTTTCCGAAGCTTCTATCACCATTATATGAAAAGACATATTGGTAAATATTACCAGCACCATTCACTAGGTATTTGGAAATACTTCTGGAAGTTGGATGAATATAAGTAAAGTCTGAATCAAAATTGGAAATTTGGTATTTGACATTTTCATCATTTGTTCCATCGCTAATATAAAAACGACGGACAGATTCTATCATGCCTTCAAAATCTGGACTATCGACATCAAAACCAAAATGTAATCTCTCGTAAAATATATTGTTGAGGTTTTCAAAATATGATTTTGGTTGATTAATATATTCCACAAGTTTCTCATCGTCTGTAAATCCAAGTAGAATAGGCATTCCTCTTACTTTGGGAACATTTGCTTCAATCCAATTTTCGGTGATAAATGCATCAACCTCTTCAAACGGTTTCTCTAGACATGGTCTAAAGACAAGTCCTAATTCGTAGGTAGCGGCAACAATCAGGTCAGTATGAATTGATGCTAAAAATGAAATGGCTTCACTCTTATCTTCAGTAACTAAGCCAAGATGGGTAGCTAGTATCAAAGGTGCATCTTTGTGAGGTGCATAAAATGCAGGTCCTAGTGTTGTACCACTCTGAATAATAACCTTATCAAATAGTTTTTCATTAGGAGATAGGAGATGAAAATCTACAGATCTACCTCCAGCACTTTCTCCAAATAAAGTTATTTTATCTGAGTCACCACCAAATGCTTCTACATTCTTTTTGATCCATTTAAGAGCTATAAGTTGATCCTTGAGTCCTTCGTTACCAGGATTTTCTGGTGTATCAAGGGACATAAAACCATAAGCCCCAAGTCTATAATTCATGGTTATTAGAATAACATCATGGCGAACAATAAATTTGGGTCCAAAGAGATAGCGTCCTGCGGATCCACTTCTATATCCTCCGCCATGTATCCACACTAAAACTGGGAGCTTTTTCTGAGAGTTAGCTATACTAGGCACGTATATGTTTAAATGTAGGCAATCGAGTGATCCCATAATGGTGTAATTGATCTCTTCAATTTGTGGGCATATTGCTGAATCATCGTCAGCTTCGAATAAGCCTTCAAATGGCGGTTGTGGTATAGCTGCCTAGAAAATAAAATAGTTTTCTTGTATTCACATGATAAGGCATAGTAATAATGGTTAATTTAAAGACTAAATCGTGTAGGAAGTAACTAAAGGATCACTTATGTTTCTTTTTTTTTAATTGTTTACTTACTTCCGTTTTTATTAAAAAGACATAATTTATAAAATGAATATTTGTACGATTTATTTAAAACTTTAAAAACAGAATTTACAAGAGATAAGTGAAATTATTGGTGTAACGAGAGAGAGTTTTCTCTTCATAAGAAATTTTTAGCCTCGTTGTTAAACTGGTGATATAAGCAAATTTAGTCAGACTCAAAACTTACTAGACGATATGAGAAATGCATTGTATTCACACTTACCCCAAATGGATTCGAGGCATTGACCTGGGCATATGGTATACCCATGAACATGGAGTAGTCACCATCATTAGCTCTCACTCCTCGTATTAAACCCAAATCAGTGTTAACTAAGGGATCTACTTTCAGGTTTGCAATTCCAATTCCAAACAGGAAACCAAGAAACATATTTAAGTATGTGTACCGCCTTGCCATTCTGACTATCGAATGTCTGATATCAACTGCATCAATACATTTAAAATGCTGAGACATTAAATCAAAAGAGCGAACAAACATGTTTTATAGAGATAACAAAATAGAGATATCGGAAATGCCATCTGGTCACGCCACAAAACAAAACAAATTCCCGGCGCGGATGTGCGATTATATACAAGAAGAAAACACAAAAACTAGAGGGAAACTGTGGGAAAGGGGGTACCTGTTGGTTTGTTGGGCTGGTTCCTTGACGCCTGTTCTTCCTGTCCTGGAAATGTTCGCCTGTGGCGCGCCACTATTTCTTTTTTTACACTAATGTTCGTGGGATGTTCGCGGGCCCCGGGGCGGAAATATGTGTAGGCGAAAAGCGTCTCCGGAGCGCGGTTTTTTCTCGTCGTGGGAGTTTCTTGGTGTCTCCTCTCGGCGATCAGAGCACACACAGGCCGTTGCCCTTTTTTCGTCCGTTGGTTCGAATTGCAGCGATGGCAGCGCCGCGGACGAAGTCGACAACAGGTGAGTTTAGAGGAAGGGATAAGGTAAATGTGTTTTCGCAAGCTTACGATAGATGGCGTTAACATATCCACCCCCCCTTAAAGGGTCACCTTTAAAACAATCATAATAAAGGCGAGAATAACAATAATCCAAACACTTACTTGTGTTATAGCGAATTAAGCGGAATTTACTAATTGACTAAAATATATATACTTACATACATTAAACTACATATTATACTTAATCTTAAATTATTATTCTAATTTTAGTGTAAAGTGTAGTTGTGATAAATATGTTATTGAGTTGGTAAAGGACATAAACGAACAACCGGGCGTGTATACGTTCCTCGAGGGGTTCTGACAGTAGCTACGCGCACGATACCATCCTTAGAAGGGTGAATTTTTTCTACTACTGCCAGAGGCCAAGAGAGAGGTGGCGCATTATCTACTATTATGACCACTATCACGCCGAGGGTGATAGGAGCGGAGAGCGTATTCCACTTCTGTCTAACTTGAAGGCTGTGGAGATATTCTACACTCCATCGCTTCCAGAACGACTGTACCAACTTGTCTAATAAAGAATGTCTCTGAAGTAGAGAAACGTTATCTGTAACCTCAGGTGCGGGTAGTGACGGTAAAGGGAAATTATTTAAAAAATGGCTGGGAGTCAAAGCCGTAGGCTCCGAAGGATCCGAGCTTAACACGGTAAGTGGACGCGAATTTAGTAAACATTCTATCTGTGTTAAAACCGTAAGCAATTCCTCATAAGAAAGGAGTTGCTGTCCTATTACCTTATAAAGGTGATTCTTTATCACTTTCACCATGCTCTCCCAACATCCACCAAAATGACTAGCGGAAGGGGGGTTGAACCTCCATTCTATTTGATTCCCCGAAAAGAAATCTTCGAAATATGAGGTTTGATTGCGTAAAAATCGATAAAAATCTCTCAAATATGAATTCGCGCCGACAAAATTCGTACCATTATCAGAGTACATGCATTTCACGGGACCGCGACGAGATAAAAACCTTTTAAAAGCTGCGAGAAAGGTAGGAGTGCTTAGGTCGGTTACCAATTCAATATGAACAGCGCGAGTCGTGAGGCAAGTGAACACGCATATATATGCCTTTTCGGATCGAACACCTCTACGGCGGACTGGCGTATACGAGATGGGGCCGGCGTAGTCACATCCCGTATGCGTGAACGGCTTTATAACGGGACGAACGCGGAAATCGGGCAAATCTGCCATTAATGGAAGGGTAGGTCGTGGTTTGGCGCGGAAGCAAAGATTACATTTATGTATGCGCTGGCGTACAATGCGGCGGGCGGACATGATCCAATATCTTTGTCTGAGCAAAGACATAAGCAGTTCGGGCCCAGCATGCAGGTATGTACGATGATAATAATCTACGATTAAATGCACTATATGAACGTGTCGCGGTAATATAAATGGATATTTTTGAGCGTACTTAAGGGCAGAATTTGAAAGCCGACCACCTACTCGAATTACATCGTTCTCAATGAACGGGTGAAGTTTATTAAATGCGGGTGAACAAGGTTCAGCACTCTTAAGCTTTGAAATCTCGTCAGCGAAATACACGTGCTGTAACACTTTAATAATTTGAACTTCGGCGAAACTCAAATCGGCCGCCGTAATAGTTGCGGATGCGCGGCGTTGCAACTTTCTCGCGAATCGAAAAATATAAACTGTTATACGGAGGAGTTTGCTCCATGATGATTTGCGAAGAGCAAGAGCGTAAATTACAGACTCCCTAGCGGGGGCGGTAGCGGTATAAACACATAACTTCTGTTCCGGCACTTCGGAGACGGAAGTTAGAAAATCTCCATCGTTGAATGGCCAAAGTGAACAATCGGACAATAGCCACGGTGGACCATGAAACCAGAGGGGATGCTTCACTAGTTTCTGTGGCGTTAGGCCACGCGATAAACAATCGGCGGGGTTTTCGGACCCGGCGACGTGATGGAAATTTTCGGCAGGAATATTTTCGGTCACTTTGACGACACGATTTGCGACGAATGTCTGCCAACGATGGGGTAAACTCTTTATCCAGTAAAGCGCTACCTTAGAATCGGTAAAAGCGAAAATATTTATATTTAATGTGGCGGCATAATTATTTAAGACCGTACGCATTAATTTTGCGAGAAGCACAATCCCACAGAGCTCCAATCTAGCGATAGTATGAGGGGTAGTTGGTGCGACCTTAGACTTCGCGCAGACCAACCGTACTGTGACACCTCTGTTAGTTTCTACGCGTAGGTACACTACACCACCATACGCGCTTTCACTTGCGTCTGAAAATCCTATTAAGGAAATGACGCAATTGCCAGCGACGCCGACGTGACGCGGGATGCGAATATCGTTTAAAGCTAGAAGCTCGGAACGGAACTGTAACCACTGTTTGACCAATTCCGAAGGGGGAGCTTCGTCCCAATCGACTCCTAGTTGCCATAAGCGCTTTATGATAAGTTTCGCGTACAACACAGTCGGTGCGATAAAACCAGTGATATCCCACAACCTCGCCACGGTGGATAAAATTGATCTTTTGGTACAAGTGTTATCGGTGGGGACCGATACATTAAAATAGAATTCATCAGAGTCCCTACACCAATATAGACCAAGTATTTTAGAAGGCGCGTGCTTGTCAAACTCAACGGCGGTGGTGAGCTTGTGAGTATCAGGAATGGTGTCTAGTACAGCATTTGAATTGCTGTTCCATTTTACTAAGTCCCATTGAGCTTCCTTGAACATATCGATCAGCTGTTTACTGGCCGCAATGGCTTGTTCGCTACTGGGGCTTGAGTAGGCCAAGTCGTCCATATACAACGACCGAGAAGCTATATCTCGCGCGAGGGGGTACTTATCCCCATGGTCGCTAATTAACTGACGAACGCAGCGTAATGCGTGAAACGGGCTTGACTTGAGACCAAAACAAACTCGATTAAATTCATAAAGCATCAGAGGCTCTTGCGGATTAAATCGATAAAATATTTTTAGAAAGCGACGATCGCAATCGCGTATTATTATTTGTAAAAACATTTGTCGACAGTCCGCACTCATAGCTATAGCATGTAGACGAAAATTTAAAATAATTTGAAATAATTCGCCCTGTAGATTAGGGCCACCGTGCAGAATATCGTTGAGCGAAATATTAGTCGACGTTTTACAGCTCGCGTCTAACACGGGTCGCAGCGGTTTGTCATCACGGGCTACGCCGTGGTGCGGAATAATATACGACGGAAGAGTGGGGTCTTCCGCGCGAGCGGGAGATAAATATTGTTTATCAATATACTCATTGATAGCGGCATCATAAGCGGTGCGCAATTTGGGAGACGCTTCTAACTTGCGCTCTAAACACAAAAATCGCTTGCGAGCGATGAACTCGGAATTCCCGAGGGAATAAGCGTCCTCACGAAAAGGTAACGCCACGACGTATCGGCCACTGGTAGGATCCCTTACAGTGGTGGAACAATAAAATTCTTCACATTCAACGTCATCCGGACGTTGAATGGACGGCGAAGGTACTTCTTCTAATTCCCAGAACCTTTTTAAAGTCATTTCTATAGATTCGGGAGCGGTGATAGCACAACACGAGGTGAGCGGTGACGACGCGTCGGCGCGGTGGTAAGCGGTGGGTACGGAACCCATAATAATATAACCCAACACTGTATTAATCGCGGGGGGCGCCGAGCCGTTGTGGTGGAGTACATCGGCTAATAATAAATGCGGAAAGAACGAGGCGCCTATCAAAACATCTATTTTGTCAGGTATCGAAAATGATTCGTCTGCCAATGGCAAGTTGAGAAAATGTGGCAACGAAGATTTGTCAACCACAGCGGAAGGTAAATTTTCAGTGATTTTCTCAACAATTAAACAATTTACATTAAAATTTATATTTGCATTAAACCGAGAAGAAAATTTAAAGTTAGCGGAATTATTTACGATATTCTCGGAACCTCCAAAACCTTTGATTAACGTTCGCTTTATTTCGTTAGTTTGTATACCTAAACGCTCGCAACATTGCTTAGTTATAAAATGGCTTTGCGAAGCGGTGTCCAACAGAACACGAACGGTGTGTTTGTTATGAGACAAGTCATAAGAATAAACTTGCGCGGTCGCTAATAATATAGTTGTGTGCGGTGTGCATTGCGTAGTATCAGCGAAACAGTCACGCGGTGTCTTACTGGAGCGATGTAATGAATCACTAGACGTAGCGCATAGCGTTACGTCTGTATTAGTCAACGACGTAGGCTGTGTGCGCGTGAGCGATGCAGCTGTGTCGGCTGACGTCACCGGTGCGCCTGGATTCGTTGTTATGTTGGAAAAATGCAATAGTGTGTGATGTTTCGATTTGCACACACGGCAACACATACTTGAATTACAAGCCGAAACTTTGTGTACTGTACTAAGACAGTTTATACATGCGTTTAAATCTTTAGCCACTTTAAAACGTTCCAAAGGAGATAATTTATTAAAGTTTGAACATTTAAAT